ATCCCTGTGCTTGCCCTAGTAGCTCCAGCAACTCTCCTCCCCCTACATTGACAACTAGGGGCCTTGGACCTTCAACCTTGTCACGATTTGGGCCAGTTCTTGTCGACTATCCATATGCCGCTACATCCCCCCTCCGGTTGAAATGAACATTCGTTGTTGGCATGGCCAATCCTTCCACATCGATAACAAAAATCTTATAACCTTTCATATATAAATTCAATCCATGTCTCTCTATTATTTTCCCTTGGGATCCAACACCCTGGAATCAGTGGCTTTCTTGTGTCAACAATCACCTTTACATGAAGAAAACCCCTGGCTTTTGCATGGTCCTCCATTTCCAAGAACTCCCCAAGCTTCTTGGCTAAGTGCCTCACATTTATTTCTATGTTAAAAGATAGTGGTACCCCTCTGATTTGGATCTAGAATGGGACCAACTCCATTTGAATTTCCTCCAAAGCTAACTCAGGTGGCCACCTTTTAATGGAAAAGTTCTGTTTCATGACAGCCCAAGGCACTTGGTTAAGGATCCTTACCGCCGTACTCTCATCATGTACAGTAATGATAAAGGTGTTTTCATGGACCCATTTGACTTCGGCATCCCCCAGATCCTTCCAAGCCAACCGTAGGATATTTCTTATCCCCCACTTGTTCAAAGTCTTGTTTGTCAAGGCCGCCCCCACCAGCTTGATCCCACGTTCCATAGTCGTAAGATCTAGAGACTGCTCCAAATGCACCACCAAATCATCCACTACCAACTGCTCCATTTGTCCTCCTATGCTCTGAGTTGGTTGTCCCTTTCGAACACAGTTGAGAGTGATGGATCTACTAACCCTAGTGAGATTGAAGGATCTATTAAGACTGAGTGTGATTGTCGGACAATTTAAGTTTTCTCCCCACATATCTCCTTTTTTGCACGGTTCCTATGTGATGAGCACAAAAAGCAACTACAAATAGGATATGCAGTACAAAGTACCTGTGTGCAACAGCAGATTGATTAAATTTGCTATATAGATGTAATCAAAGAGTAGTTGGCATACCCAAGTCTTCATTTAATGGAGGGAATAATTGTGGGTAGTAAATTTCCCCTTCCCCCTTCATAGCGGGTGGTTGGGCTCAATCAATCACCACAGGAACGCCCTACTCCTAATTAGGTGAATCTTGCAATACAAATCCAAAAGCACTAAATAGAACTAACGAGAAATTTAGGACAGAAGGAAGAACCAAATCAACTAAAATTGTTAGATTGAACATTGACTCTCACATAGGAGAGAAAAAACACTCACAATAGAGGTCTCTCACAGAGGAGAGAATTTTTGACTTTGGGTTTTTCATGAGAAACTTCTTTAGTTTTGGTTTCATTTTGGCGCTCATATTTTATTATTGACTAAATTGCAATACTTTTCTTTCCAACGCTATAAGAGGATCCACATTTGTATCTCCCCTCCCTTGATTTTGATTATCAGTTGTGTTAGTTGAGGAGAAAGAACTCTCTTTTGCTAAAATGGCGTGATAATGAACATAAAATCATAAATGCCACGTGGACCAAAGATTTTAAATTACAAAAACTTGTAGGAGTTGTTATTAGCATTTTTAAAAAGTACAACTCTTCACAATGTACATTTCTTTTCATGACAATACACAGGGAGGGCGTGCAACTAGCGGATAGCGGTGGCGGTTAGGGTTTTCTTCTTAACCCAATGCGATTAGGGACGGTCAATGGGTATCTATTTACTTAAATAGAGGTCCACTTAATGTAGATATGTGTTAATTGTAGTGCTTAGTGATGAAAGTGATATTGTAGGATCCATGCACACATCGATCATCTCTACACTCTTGGCTTAAACTCTCCCTCTCTTAATGTAGCTTAGATTAAGAATATTATGTTTAAAAAAAATAAGCTGTTATCTCTACTAATTAATAAAACACTAATTGTCAACAAAAATCCTATGAAATTATCAGTTTAACCCTCTAATTAAAACAAAACATGAATAATAAATATGGGGTAGAAATGTAATTTCACACAACCAAATTTTGCTGTTTTTTTTTTCAAAGCCTCACCTACATGTAATCCTACATATCGCTAATTTATAAAAAAAAAAAAAAAAAAAAAAACACCAAACTTCCCACTCCCACATTCTCTATCACTCTCTTCCTCTCTCCTTCAATTTCAAAAACAAACATAAAAAAAAATTTCACATATTTCGTGTGTGCCCATATGGCTAGTATTCATTAAAAAGTTTGTTTTGGACAGTTTGTGTGATGAACATAAAGCGCTTTGTTTTCTTATAGTTGGGTTCTTTTTATTTTTTTTTATTTGACTGTATGATTTGTTTTGGGCCTTTTATTTTGACAATAATCAATTTCAAAGGTTTATGGAAAAAAACGCATGGACCAGCATGATATTTTCTACCTGCTGGCCCAAGTCATTTTATTTATTTATTTAATAATAATAATTATAATGGTAATTACTCAAAAAAACATAAAAATAATAATAATAACAATAATAATCTAAATTACATATTAATAGAACTCTTTTTATAAATAAAAAAAGGTAAAAAGACTATTTAGTCTTCTATCACAACAACAAAATTAAGGACAGTAATGTAATTTCATAAAACAAAATTTTTCTATTTTTCACCTACAGATGATTTTAACATCTCTAATTAAAAAAATAAAAAAAATTAAACCTCTCTCCCTCCCTCTTCACTCTTTTTCACCCTTTTCCGCTCTCCTTCAATTAAAAAAAAAAAAAAACTTCAGACACACTTTGTGTGTGGGCTAGTAATAATAATACATATCAAATTTTGCTGTTTTTTACCTACATATGATTTTAACATCTCTAATTAAAAAAAAAAAATTAAACCTCTCTCCCTCCCTGTCCACTCTTTTTCACCCTCTTCCGCTCTCCTTCAATTAAAAAAAAAAAAAAAAAACTTCAAACACTTTGTGTGTGGGCATATACTAGTAATAATAATACATATCATTCTCATCAACTACAGTAATTTCAATACATATCATTCTCATCAACTACAATAATTTCAATCTTGGCTTGTTAGCTAGAATGATTCTTGAGTTGGCGTAACTCCTCACTTTGGTCCTTAAGATTGAAAATTGATCGAAGTGATCCCTGAGTTTATCCACTGTAAATCATTTTGGTCATTCTGTGAACAATCTGTCAACAACATCGTTAAATTGTCACGTGGGAAACCATGTGAACACGTTTTAAGGATATTTTTGTCAAACCAACCCCTTTTAGCCAAAATGGTCTATGAGATTAATATAGCTCCTCACTTTGATCCTTGATAATGAAAATCAATAAAAATTGTCCTGAGTTTGTACATCTTAAATTATTTTAATCATTCTGTGAAATATTTGTCAATATCCTCGTCAAATTGTCATGAGGATATCCTCGTTAAATTGTCACGAAAATAATTTCGTGGAGTTCACCACCTTCACATTTTGACAAGTAAACACATCCAATATGCTACTAGACCTCTAAGAATGAGTATTCAACAGTTCAAATGCTCATTGCATCTCATTTGTACACATTTTTTATATGATGAGTGTTCTAGCCACCTATTGGGTCATATTTTGTTGGAGTTTCTCCATCTTCTCAATCTTCACGTAATGATCAAAATGATTTAGGGAACTTTAACGAAAAGCACCCAGTACTGTTCACTTTAACGAAAAACCACATTTTACACTAAAAAGTCAATCATGGTACTATTCACTTTACCCTTTATTTTGTCCTTATCATTAAAACTCAAAGTTTTCAAACCCTTTTCATTAGTTTTCCTAATGATTTATGGATATGCTTAGAAATGACTTAATAATTTTCATTGTTAGGGACAAAAGTGAGGAGTTATGCCAATCTCAGGGATCATTTGGCTAAAAAGTAAGGGATGATTTGACAAAAATACCTTTAAAAATGTGGTCATGTGGTCGTGCACGTAATAATTTAACGATGATCTTGTAGATTTTTCTTTGAAGGACAAAAATAATTTACAATAAACAACTTATAGACCACTTCTATGAATTTTCAATATCAGGAATCAAAATGAGAAGTTATGTCAATATTAGAGACAATTTTGGTTAAAAAGCCAACTTTAGCCACTTGCATGTTAATTAAGGGGTGCATAGCTTAGGGGCTACCCATTGAGTTAGGAAGGCCTCGAGGACTCAACACAAAATTCAAACGTACGGAACTTGTATGATACTCCATGGAACAACAATGTGAAAATTAGTTGTGTTTCCTCTCTTTGTTGGGCGGTAAAATCCAACTCCATATTCGTCATTCGAAACAATAAAAAATTTAACCTATTGTTGACGTTAGACGCGCATTCATATAAAAACAAATCTGATTTTTGTATCAGCGTTTTACGAATAATAAGCCACTACAAATATGAAACACATTATAACAAAATTCCAGAATCACGCATTAAGCAACAAAGTGCTCCTACTATTAGGATGGAGATAACACATTACTGAATAGATATTCCATGACCGCAAGTGACATTTTACTACAGTGATGAAGGTGAGTATTACCCTTAGACCACGACATGAGTTTAAACTTTGTTGACTTCTTAATTTAATATATAATCTAACAAACTATATTTTTACTAACAAAACAAAAAAAAAAAAAAAATTCCTTGACGGGTTGCAATTTAAACCAAAGATTTCATCCCCTCCTTCCAATTTAATTTGAGGAGTTTTAACGAAAAACCCACGGTACTGTTCACTGTAATGAAAAATCAATTTTTACATTAAAAAGTCAAACTTGGTACTATTTATTTTACCATTTATTTTTTCCTTACCATTAAAACTCAAAAATTTTAACCCATTTTCATTAGTTTCCTTTTAATCTAACCGTGCTTATTGAAGCGTGTATTTAGTGATGTGAATAAGAGAAAACTTGGTAACACATGGCCCACATATTTGGGCGCCAGTTTCATCCGTTCCCACGTGGCAAACGCTGAGCCGCCCACCGCAACCGTCACTCAACAAAATCCCCACTACCAAAACCAACGAAGACGAGAACCTCCTCGGAGTCGAGGTTGCGCTGAAGCCATGGCGACCCGCCTTGGGCGACTAACGGTAGCTGCGTTGTCGTCTCAGATTCGGAGATCAACGGCCCACTATTCGTCTCTGACCGCGATCAGCGTCGGCCAGGGTGGGTCCCAAACGAGACTGTGGTCTTCATCATCGTCTAGTAAATCTGATAAGGCGGAGAAGAAGAAGCCGTTAGGAGACCGCCTATCGGCGGTGATAGACGCCGTTAACGACAGTAAACTTCCTCCTGAGCTCCGTGGTCAGCGCAACAACATCAGGTTCAAAACCCCAGTTTTAATTTGGCCATACCATGATTCTGTTTGCCCACTTTGATTTGATTCGGTAGTTCAAGTTTAGTAGTTTACTCGGATATTTGATAACCATTTTGTTTTCAGTTTTCAGTTTTTGTTTTCACAATTTTTGTGTGTTCAAGAATTGAAGACTAACAATTGAAATGGGTTGCTCAGAACTATGGTTTGGTAGCATTCGTCTTCACTTATAAGTAAGAGATCTTAGGCATGGATCTCGTGAATGACGAATTCGATACCAAATTAAGTTGCTCATTGAATGACTTAGCCGAATTCCTATTCCCCTAGTGTAAAATATGTCGTATTCAAAAATAAAAATAAAAACAATTGAAAGGTTATCAAACCGACGCTAAACGTCTCATGACTTAATTTGTTACTGATTTAGCATTTGATAATTATGTGTATGGTGTTTCTTCAACTACAAGAACACCACCTACTTGTATTCACAATAAGAACACCACTTACCCTATGTTACTTATGTGCTAATTTTATTGCCCTTAGATTACAAGCAGTTCATAAACTACATGACTTAAATCGCGACAATTGAAACTACACATTTCAAAATTTGAAACTTGGCCGAAGCGCAGGCCTAAAGCGATGATTTGGCTTTTCAATTAGATTTGGGTTTTTGAATGTTGGATTATTATTGTCATTAAAATTATGATAATTTTGAATTTGGGATGCTGTGGCAGGTCAGAAACAGATATAATCAATGTGGTGGAGCAAAGAATATGGCATTCTATGGAAGCAGGGCAGTTTGAGAATTTGCCGGGGAAAGGGAAGCCCCTAAACTTAAGTTCAAATCCTCACGCAGACCCAGCTGAGGACACTTTGTACCGAATCCTCTCAAAGAATGGCTGCGCGCCACAGTGGGTTGAGCTCAACAAAGAGATAAGGAGCCAGGTTTCGGAATGGAGAATCGCTCTGAAGAAGGCTTGCGCAAGCAAAAATTGCAACGGGGGCGGGGACGGGGGTGATCAATCGAAATGGGTTGAAGCTTCAGAGGCTTTGAAATTGCAAGTGAAACAGATCAATAATAAGGTACTGCAGTATAATCTTATGGCTCCTTTCGGCCGTCAAATGTTTGGACTCAACTGGGACAAGGAGCTGGATCGTTTGAAATCGGAGGAACAATAATCCCTAATAGGAGTAGCCGAAATTGAAGATAAGATGAGGGAAATTCGGTAAGGTGGTTGGACATGTGAAATGAATACCTATAGACGCTCCGGTAGTTGCATTTGTTTTGGTTGAGGTTAAGTAGCTTCGTATATTGGTATTAGTAGGCATGGGAAACCAGATGGTGCTGTAAAAGTTTAAATTGTGCTTAGTTTATCAAATGTTAAAATTCTGGATTTTGATTCGCGATTGCGTATTTCTTTTGATTCGAATGTGGAATCTGATTCCGAATAATTTCAATACTCGATCTAGGTAAGTAAACATCGTACCAAGAACGGGACTCTAAATTGGTAATCTTCGATCGAAGTTTAAAAGCTTTGCATATCCAAATGAGAAAACAACAATGTTTATACATAGAATTACCATCAAAACTGAATGTTAATGTTATACACGCATAAGCAACCAGCCAAAGTACTTTTTTGGACCATTTCAATTTTCAATGAAGTATCCACTAAAATGTATACATGTTGTTATGGTAATATGTTCATCCTACTGAAGATGTTTTTGCTGCGAGATGAACGAGCGCTCGCTTGTGGTAAGTGGTACGAAGCTTCTTGTATTTCTCCACAAAAGCCCCGAGATCAACCTCCTTGTCGAGAAGCTGCTCGTGCAGAGCTTCCGATTCCTCCTCTGTCGTATTCATCGATTCTGCACGTACGAACAAAGTTTTCATGTACCAACAAATTGATTGTGATTCATGTCATATATTGCTTGGCAAGAACAAATCCTGAGTTACTGTACAATTTCATATTATCATTACTGCATACCTTGAAGCCTTTGAAGAAGAGAAGACGGGGAACACAGCTTCAACATTTCTTCTTTCTTTCTCTCGAGCTCATTTAGCTTCTCCTGAGCGGCAGCCAACTCTGTTGTTCTAATTATTCTGCACTGTGACCACAAAAGAAATGGGAAAGAGAGATCCACGATCACAACAACAATTTTGCAACAAGTGCGAGAAACAAGACAACGGTGAAAGCTTACCTGGTTTCTAAGTTCCACCATCTGTGGTTCTTTTTCCAAGTTTTCCCCTGTTTGATAAAAATAAATTTATACTTTGTCTTCCCATGTATAATCCAACAGCAGGAGACATCTATATTTAAAATAGTAGGTCAGAAAACGAAACAGAGAACTCACTGGATAACTGCAGAGTTTCCCTCCGTAGCTCCTCTCTTAGCTGATGAGGTCAGTAGAAGAAACAATAAAGAACAGAATAAAGACATGTCCTGAAACTGACAGCATTCGAACAAACTATGGAAGCCATTAAGGGAGGGGATCCGCATTTTTTAATAAAAAACGGGGATTAGTTGTGGGGCCCACACCACATCGAACTTTAACAATCCGAACTATCTATTTTTCAAGTTGTACCTCATAGATCATCCTTGCAAAATATTAGCCAAATCGCAAATATTTAGGGCATCTAATTGAGTTCAAAGAAATTGACGAACACTTTGTTCCAAGAAAACATTGAAATTTCATTGTGAATTAAATAGGCAACTGGTTTCGGATTGAATTGAAATTTTGTAAGGATGATCTATGAATTGAGACTTGCAAAATAGACCGTTAGGATCGTTGACGTTCGATGTGCAGTGGGTCCCACAACTAATCCCTATTTTTATTCAAAAAATGAGGATCCCTTCCCTTAAAGGGCCTGATCTAAGTATGATTATCGCTTTGCCCAAATCAAGATAGCCATTACAGTTCATCAAGTGCTTTTCTAAATAAAAAGGTAAGTGTTGATTATACTGAGAACAATGGGGTGTGTGCAGAAGCATTTGAACCTTAAACAGAAACGGCACAACACCAAAAGTTAACTAAAACTTACATTATTTTGAATTTTGACCTGATCGAGTGAAAGAAAAAATTGCTGGTATGCATTCTTGTCAGACAAAAGCTTCCGTAGGTCCTCAACACTGAACACATCAATAGGAAAACATAATAATTAGTTACTGATTACTCCACAAAGATGATATAAGAATTAGATATGATCTGAGAGAGTTACATCCATATTCGAGATTAAGCAAAACAAACTCACTCAAACAACATTTTTCATTTAACAATTATGGTCTTTCAAAGACTGATTAAAATAATGATTGTGTAAACAAATCCTATCATGATACGTAAAACCTAATCTCTAAACTCCTTTTCAACATTCTTCAGTCCACCAAAATGTTCCAAGCTTTGTTTTTAAAAGAACAAGTTCAACAAAACTACCGACTACATTAGACAAACACTAAGTACAGTTAAATTTCACACACAAACATCTCCAGATATCAATGTACAATCTGAAACAAAAAAATTGACAAGTTGATATGCAACAACCCATTAATTAGGTGACCTAAGATCATTGTTGATCAGCTCCGAAACAGAAAAACCATATTTATTCTATACACATCAGATTTTGGTAGCACCATGAGCCTTACCTCTTGTCCTTCAAAACAGAAATAACACCGGCAGCTTCGGCCGGCGAAACATGTAACGGAGATTGTGCCCTTTCTGTTGGCCTTTGGTAACTCATACTGCTAGATGAGGTGCTGCTCGGCGTCCCAGGGCGAGAAGAGGTCGGAGAGTTAACTACAGATGGAGGGTACCATGACTGTGAAGGAGTAACAACCTCCGGTCGCGGCTGAGTGGGCTCCTCCTGAGATCCCCTGTGAACGTACACAGGGTTAGAAACTTAGACTTCAGCCTCTCCAGTAATTCACCCAAACTCCATAAAAATAATTTGCAGAAACAAATCAACCCAAACTCCAAAAAAATAATTTGCAGAAACAAAAATCAACCCAATTTCCACAAATGATTTCGCAAATCGATTCAATTAACAAAACCCATCAATTCGCAGAACAAATTGGACATTTCGACACCGACCCATTAACGAAAACGACAAAAAATCAATCTCCAGAATCGGAATTCAACCCTAGGACTAACGGAGCTACGGTTCAAAATTAAAACCCTAAATTACACCCAGAAGAGAGAAATTACCAGAACTTGAACATGGACATGGCTTTGGGGGGAGCTTGTGCAAGGAATCGAATGGACGGGACGATTGAACTGTACGGACGACGGCGAAGTTGAGGAATTTGGAAGCTTAAACTGTCCGGTTACGTACGAGAGCTAATTCAACGGTTTACGCCTCCGACTAGATTGTAGTACGCGCGTGGCCTTTGTGCAAGTGGTCGAAGACGTGTGAGAGGAAGAGAGAGATCGCAGAAGATGCGAGGAAAACAACTTGGAGTCGGGATGGATGGATGGATGCGAATTTCTTCATCGACTCTGCCGACATTGGGCCAAATTGGAGCCCAAAAGTTATGGGTGTTCATGTGTTTGTTTGATAAAAAACCACTCAGAGCATCTTCAAATAGGATGTCAAATTAAACTGTTATTTTTGTTATTTTAATTAGTACTTCATGTAATGTTGAATAGAATTTAATATTAAATAACTTATATACTTTAATATGTAATGACAATTTCGACCTTATAAAGTTTTTTTTTTAAATTAAAAAACTCTAAATACACCCAAAATCACTTTGAACGCGCATATCCTAAGATTATTTATCTTCTCCAACTCTCAAAACCACTCTCACCTCCATTGTAGAACAAAACTATAACGAATGAAACTACAAACACTTTGATTGAGAAAAATTATTTATGATGAATGTAACATAAAATCGACGTTTCAAAAGCTTCACATAATGTAAGACTTCATATTTTTCATTGTTTTAGTGGTTTCAACGACATTGGCACATCTTGGAGGTCCACCAAGTAGACCTTAGTTGCGACTTCTTTGAACCATGTTGAGATTATCGCTATGCATGAAGCCACTTGTGAATGCAATTGGAAAAACACCATGAGGAACATAAAAGATCTTTGGAAGTGGAAAAAGTTCTTTGTGGCCATAGAGAGATGCAAAAGTCATTCGCTTACATGTTGAGAATAAAAGCTCCTGTTACCCTCCAAAGGCAATGGGTAAATGAAGACAGAGCTCGATTTAATGCCTAGCTAGATGGAGAACATTTTCCTTATGTTTTCGACTACAAATCAAATTCCATTTGAAGGAAAGGTTGGTTGAAAAGACCGAGGGGCAATTTTTCGCTTCGACCACAATCAAAACTAGGCCTAAGAAAATTGTCAAGACGATTGAAGAAAAACCTAGGCCACCTATTTGTTCGGTTGAGATTGAAAGTGTGGTAGGCCTAGAAGAAAAAGTTCAAGTTTCTGAGCCAAAAATTGACTCAGAAAATGATTTGTTAGAGGAGTGTTCCAATGACGAACAAGACCAATACACGGTTTTAGACCATAAAACCACATCAATTGATATGGTAATTGGAGACATGATCTTAGACACCTAAACTACGCCCATTGATATGATTATTGGTGATAAAGCCGATATGGAGAAATCCCATTTGGCTAAGTTATTTGAGTTAAAAGTCGAAATTATCGAAGTAATTATGCCTGGGGGGCATAATAATTGTCCAACACATTCGGTGGTCAATGGTAAAAAAAATCTTTCGTCAAGCCAAACATATTTGGGGATGAACTTTTATTCAGCTTTGGAAAAACTCAAAGTGAAAACTTTGATGTTAAAAGATCTCGGCTCAGAATAAAACATCGTTGGGCTCCTCCTGATTATGACTTGGTCTCTTTTATCTTCTTTTGTTAAAAAAAAGGATGCCCAAGAGCAAAGGGAAAGGGAAGGCCGAGTTTGTTCCAATACAACATGTCCCAAAGCAGAACTCTCGGCCGTGACTCAAGATTGATCTATTTTCCAACGAACCACCCATAGAGTTTTTGGGACCGGCCATAGTCAAATCTATGTCAGATTCCAGTGCAGAAGAAATTGATGGACTGATGGTTCTATGCAGCAGTTGTAAAACACGTGTCATCCTAACTGAACCAAATGAGGGACCACTTCAGGCTCCAACACCACGACAACCATCCAAGGTCGCAGCAACACCTACAAAGGAACTCGGCGGAGGCTAGTGCCAGAAAGTGTTCGATAGGCTTGGCCTTCATATATGAACGGATGACCCCACCTCAGCCAGACGGCGCCTTGATTTCGACGCACCATTTTATAATGAGGATTATTACTTGCATAATTCTAGCAACTTAAGTTCATCGGCGAATCAAAAAACCTTTAAGCCATCTTAGCCATGCGACCAACGTTGGTATAGTTACAATTCTCCCACTGGCATGTATACTCATTATCCAAATCTAA